GTGTGCTTCACAGATCATCCTTTCTGAAGTTGTCTGTATATCTCAGCTGCTTTACATATATTTATGCAACATAGGGCAAATCTGTTTTTATTTAAAAAAAGGTAAAGGTACCCCTGCCCGTATGGGCCAGTCTTGCCAGACTCTAGGGTTGTGCGCTCATCTCACTCTATAGGCCGGGGGCCAGCGCTGTCCGCAGACACTTCCGGGTCACGTGGCCAGCGTGACGAAGCTGCATCTGGCGAGCCAGCGCAGCACACGGAAACGCCATTTACCTTCTCGCTAGTAAGCGGTCCCTATTTATCTACTTGCACCCGGGGGTGCTTTCGAACTGCTAGGTTGGCAGGCGCTGGGACCGAGCAACGGGAGCGCACCCCGCCGCGGGGATTCGAACCGCCGACCTTTCGATCGGCAAGTCCTAGGCGCTGAGGCTTTAACCCTTAAATAAGGGTTATTAAATCCTTAAATAAGAGACACGGGGGAATGATTAATGGACTTCAATGTCTGTACACTAATGCGCAAAGCATGGGAAATAAACAAGATGAGCTTGAGCTCCTGGTACAGCAAACTAAATATGACATAATAGGAATCACTGAAACCTGGTGGGATAAATCCCACGATTGGAATGTAATAATGGAGGGATACAATCTATTTCAAAGAAACAGACCAGACAAGAAAGGAGGAGGAGTGGCGTTATATGTCAGGGATGTGTATACCTGTGAAGAGATCCAAGATTTAGAACCTCAAAGCCAAAGTGAGAGCATTTGGGTCAAAATTAAGGGAGAGAAGAATAACAGTGACCTCATTGTGGGAGTTTACTATAGATCCCCAAGCCAAACGGAGGACATAGATGATGCCTTCCTGGAACAGATGGCCAAGCATGCAAAAGGAAGGGAGATAGTAGTAATGGGGGACTTCAATTACCCGGATATTTGTTGGATGTCAAACTCAGCCAAGAGCATAAGGTCAAACAGATTCCTCACTGCCCTTGCAGACAACTTCATTGTCCAGAAAGTGGGAGAAGCAACAAGAGGAACAGCCATTTTAGATCTGGTCCTAACCAATGTTGATGACCTGGTTAGTGGGGTAGAAGTGGAAGGATCATTAGGCGCGAGTGATCATGCTCTTCTGAAGTTTACTATACAGCGGAAAGGAGCAGCCAAGCATACTAGGACTCAATTTCTCGACTTTAAGAAAGCCGACTTCATAAAGCTTAGGGAAGTGCTGGGTGAGATCCCATGGACAGTAATACTAAAAGGAAAGGGAGTTCAAGATGGCTGGGAGTTTGTTAAGAGGGAGATAGTAAAAGCACAACTTCAGGCAATACCAATGAGACGGAAACATGGAAGGTGCCTAAAGAAGCCAGGGTGGCTATCTAAAGAACTTTTAACTGAGTTAAGATTAAAAAAGGATGTGTACAAAAAATGGAAAAGGGGGGAAACCACCAAAGAGGAATTCAAACAAATAGCCAGCACGTGTAGACACAAAGTCAGAAAAGCTAAAGCACAAAATGAACTCAGGCTTGCTAGAGAGGTTAAAAGCAACAAAAAAGGCTTTTATGGGTATGTTCGTAGCAAAAGGAAGAACAAAGAAACCGTGGGGTCACTCAGAGGAGAAGATGGTGAAATGCAAACAGGGGACACAGAAAGGGCTGAACTCCTCAATGCCTTCTTTGCCTCAGTCTTCTCCGATAAAGAAAACAATGCCCGACCTGAAGAATTTGGAGCAAATGATTCAGCAGAGGAAACACAGCCCAGAATAACTAAGGAGATAGTACAAGAATACTTGGCTAGTCTAGATGTATTCAAGTCTCCAGGGCCAGATGAACTGCATCCAAGAGTATTAAAAGAACTGGCAGATGTGATTTCAGAACCACTGGCAGTCATCTTTGAGAATTCCTGGAGAACAGGCGAAGTCCCGGCAGACTGGAGGAGGGCAAATGTTGTCCCTATTTTCAAAAAGGGGAAAAGAGAGGACCCAAATAATTACCGCCCAGTCAGTCTGACATCAATACCAGGGAAGATTCTGGAGCAGATCATTAAGCAAACAGTCTGTGAGCACCTAGAAAGGAATGCTGTGATCACCAATAGTCAGCATGGATTTCTGAAAAATAAGTCATGTCAGGCTTGACAACCATATGTCAGGAGTGCTCTGATGGTGTTTCCTGCTTGGCAGGGGGTTGGACTCGATGGCCCTTGTGGTCTCTTCCAACTCTATGATTCTATGATTCTATGATTCTATGATTCTAACCTGATCTTGTTTTTTGACAGAATTACAAGCCTGGTAGATGAAGGGAACGCAGTGGATGTAGTCTACCTTGATTTCAGCAAGGCATTTGACAAGGTGCCCCATGATATTCTTGTAAAGAAGCTGGTAAAATGCGGTCTTGACTATGCTACCACTCAGTGGATTTGTAACTGGCTGACTGACCGAACCCAAAGGGTGCTCATCAATGGTTCCTCTTCATCCTGGAGAAGAGTGACTAGTGGGGTGCCACAGGGTTCTGTCTTGGGCCCGGTCTTATTCAACATCTTTATCAACGACTTGGATGATGGACTCAAGGGCATCCTGATCAAATTTGCAGATGACACCAAACTGGGAGGGGTGGCTAACACCCCAGAGGACAGGATCACACTTCAAAACGACCTTGACAGATTAGAGAACTGGGCCAAAACAAACAAGATGAATTTTAACAGGGAGAAATGTAAAGTATTGCACTTGGGCAAAAAAAATGAGAGGCACAAATACAAGATGGGTGACACCTGGCTTGAGAGCAGTACATGTGAAAAGGATCTAGGAGTCTTGGTTGACCACAAACTTGACATGAGCCAACAGTGTGACGCGGCAGCTAAAAAAGCCAATGCAATTCTGGGCCTCATCAATAGGAGTATAGCATCTAGATCAAGGGAAGTAATAGTGCCACTGTATTCTGCTCTGGTCAGACCTCACCTGGAGTACTGTGTCCAGTTCTGGGCACCACAGTTCAAGAAGGACACTGACAAACTGGAACGTGTCCAGAGGAGGGCAACCAAAATGGTCAAAGGCCTGGAAATGATGCCTTATGAGGAACGGCTAAGGGAGCTGGTCATGTTTAGCCTGGAGAAGAGGAGGTTAAGGGGTGATATGATAGCCATGTTCAAATATATAAAAGGATGTCACATAGAGGAGGGAGAAAGGCTGTTTTCTGCTGCTCCAGAGAAGCGGACACGGAGCAATGGATCCAAACTACAAGAAAGAAGATTCCACCTAAACATTAGGAAGAACTTCCTGACAGTAAGAGCTGTTCGACAGTGGAATTTGCTGCCAAGGAGTGTGGTGGAGTCTCCTTCTTTGGAGGTCTTTAAGCAGAGGCTTGACAACCATATGTCAGAAGTGCTCTGATGGTGTTTCCTGCTTGGCAGGGGGTTGGACTCGATGGCCCTTGTGGTCTCTTCCAACTCTATGATTCTATGATTCTATGATTCTAACCCACAGCGCCACCTGCGTCCCCTGTTTTTATTTACTGCGTGTATATTTCATGCTTCCTCCAGGGAGCTCAGGTTGGCACCTTCCCTTGGTTTTGCCTGTTATTTACTTTACCTATGGTGTGTCACTGAACTTCATAAGACGTACAAAGTGCCTGCTCACATCTTCACAGAATGTGTGTGTGTAGGAATGATTTCCCCCACTGTTTTTGTGTGTATTGCAAAACCAAAAGTAATTTCCATGACAATGTTAAAAACAGAAGACCAAATCACTCTGCCACCAGCTAGCACTGCAACTGTCCTTCATCATTAACAGAATTAATTATCTCCCTGTGCTCAAATTCTTACATGCAGTAGGCTGGGATGTGCATACCCAACCACCCACCTCTCTACCCTCCACCCAGGCAAGTATAAGACATTATCAGAAGTCAAGGACACATTTCAGCCAGGTAAAAATGCTCATGTGGGGCGAAATAAGATAAGAGAGGGGCTGTATCCTGGGGTGATGATGTGGTAGCGTGTTGTGTAGGAAAAGTTCCAAAGATACAGAGGACTAGAGAGCAACATTTGGCTCGTGGGCCTGAAGTTCCCCACTCCTCTCCTAAATGAATTCATACTTTATATCATAACCTTCTGATACAATTGACTGAGGCCTCGGCTGTTTGTTTCTGTGTATGGATTTTCTCTATCCTTTTAGCTAATCCAAGCAGCAGAATATCCAGGACTCACAAGAAGATGTGGAAGCTGATTGGCAAAACACACATGAAGAATTGGAATGTTTATGACCCAATTGCAATGTAAGGCCTCTGTTTGGAAGATCCATTCACATAATTCCACTCCATTAATCTGCATTTTTAACACACACCCCCCCTCAAAATACATATTTATACAGCACCAACTATGTACTGGCAGATTGCAAAATTTCATAGGCAAAAATAGAGGGGTCCTTGCTCCCCTGAAAGCTTACCATTTAAAACAGACAATTGGGAAAACAGCAGTGACAGGATTGATGTGGACAAATGCATTACAGCTTGCTTATATTTGAGAATGAGGATTAACAGGATAAGCCAAAGGCCCTGTAGGAAAGAAGAGTTTTGAGAGGGCATTTGAAGGAGAAGAGAAAAACAAATAGCTTGTAAATAAAAACTCCTAAAACTTCCTAATTCCCACAGAAGAAACAAGCACAAGTACAAATATAATTTTGAGTTATGTTTCCAAGTCTGAATAACTTTGCACACATCAGTAGGAGAATCCTCATTTACCCTCTCCTATCACTTATGGTGAAACCCCACATGGAAGGAGATGCTCGTATCAAATCCTGTTGTCACACTATGTTATCACACTGAAGACCTATGAGATAAATCTGAGATCCATGACCTTGCAAACCATCAACTAGCAGAGTGCACTCTGGACATGGAATTTGAGGTGAAATAAATGTTCTTAATTCTGTTTTTGGAAATCCAAAATTTTGAGAAATTTTTTTAGTATAAAACATTATTTATATTCTTATATCCTTATATCCTACTTTTTTTCATACAGTTAATTTCCAGGAGGTCTCCCGTCCATGCATGGGCCAGATCCATAATGACAAGGTGGTGGCCTTATGGGACTTCAGACCACACCAAAGCCCCCCCTGCTTTTGTCATGGGTAAGTGCAGTCGCAGCAAAGGGAATCCAAGCCTTGTAGCACTATTTTCTTTTCTTTTTAATATGGGCCCAAGATACATTCTGTGTTTCTCATTTTTGTAAGATATAAATATTACCAGTTTTAGTTTTCTAGAAAAAAAGGTGCCAGAACTCATCATGAACACCTCTCTTGTTCTTTTATAATGACAATGGAGGCCACCTGAGAGGTGCTGAAACTGAGTTCTGGCTGAAAAACACAGTTGTTCATGGGAACAGCCATGGTATATATTTCTATTAGACCTGCAATCTGTAATCATTTTTGAAGTGTAGGCGGGTTCCCACGAGGCAAGACGCAGCGATAACAGCAGTAACTTTTATTGAACTACATAACTGGAAACAGAGGCAAAGCAACTGCTTATATACATTCCTGAAAGCCTGGGCCACTCCCACTCCCAATGTGATTGGCTGTCTAAATTTCCAAGCTGTGAATCATGACTCAGACTTCAAGGGCCAATGGCAGAGGCCCAAATCCTGAAATGTTCTGTGATTGGACATCATGTATTGAATCAGAACACAGAATCCTTAGTCCAGATTCAAGCTCAATACCAGATTCAACCACTGAATACATAACAATTTTAATCAGTAAATTCATGAACTAATGTTCCATGGAGAAATCCTGTACACAAGAAAGTGCCATAAAGCAATTTGGTCTAAGTTAAACTGTAGCCTTATTTGAGTTCACCAATTGGGTCTGCGTTGCTCCGGGACAGGAGGAAGGAAGTCAAATGACATCGAAGCTGATTCCAAGAAAGAGTTTATTCTGCTCTCCAGATAGCAGAAGTCACTTGCGTGATCAAGTCCACGGCAAGTCCAAAGAAATGAGAAGTTTCATGCGGTATATATAGCCTCCAGACACCCTCTCCCCCTTCCCCAGCCACGTCAGCTTGTACACGCAGGTTGACATCAGAGATGTTCCTGCTCCAGCACTCTTAACCATAAAAGGGATTTCCTTCCTGCACTCCTGACCATAAAAGGATCTTCCTCTTCCTACTTTTATCTTGGAGGAAGGGGTCATCATCTCCGAGAACACGCTTCTGGCGTTGTTCCCAGACTTGGGTCTGTGCGTCTTTGTGGTCAGAACATAAGATAAGGCACAAATGTGTTTTCTCTGTTCTACTGGTACAGTCAGGGTCATCCTTGACGTCACAAACTGATAAAGGAGAGAGCTGTGTTCTTGTTTTGCATTTGCTCAATGGCTCAAGTTTATGCATTTTAGCTAAGGAAAAATAGGGATTTTGGTGCAGTTTAAAACTGCCTGCACAGTCAGTTTTGGGTTTTGGGAAACCCATTCCTTCAAAACCAGTGTAAAGTTACACCAGATCCAAACTTGGTTCAGCAGCAGGACTACTGCCGTCTGAATCAGCATAGGTCTGGCAGAAGCAAAACAGACCTTTAAAATAATGTTTGCATCACAGCACTCTTTCTGCCAACTTGACTTATGCTGGATTGCCAAGTCTTGTGAGCTGAATTGGCTTAGGATGCAGCCAACCCCCCCCCCATCCCCAGTCTGACCACCACCATGAGCCTGGATGGCTCCCCTTCTAGGGCTATGACATTTGCAATTTGCTGGGCTCATCTAAGTTGGATAGGGGAGATGCGCCAGCATATCTTTGACTGACCGGAGGATCAGAGAGCTAAGCTGTGGTAGCCCAGAAGCACCAGGAACCTCCTGCCTCAGCTGGAGATCTGCTGGATCCTAAGCTGCTCATTCCATACTGAAGTGCATCGTGCCCACAGTTGCGTAACATGATTCTATCTACATTTATGCACAGTATGAGACACATTTGCCCATTACATCTAACTTGCCTTATCTCCCTTCCAGAGTACTTGTAAAGCCATCTCTGTCCGTGGTGGGCAGGTGAATTCTTCACCTTGGGTGATCTGAACTGTTATAAAACATATTTTGACCATCCTTTGGTCTAAATCTTTTACCCCTTTCAGACTTGAAAGCATTTCTTTGCACAGTGATAGTGGTGTATTACAATTTCAATACTTGGAAAATGTTTCAAAATAATTTTTTGCTTGTCGTCCAATCAGCTTGGGTTACGTGATAGCATACATTTTGACCACATATTTTCTTTTCAGTGCTGACTTTAACAATAAACTGTAATCCAACATTTCATAAAACAAGCAGTCCTGTGGGAAAATGATTGCTTGTACATGAGAGCATGAGCAAAGTTCTTATTGTTACAGGGTGATTTCATAGCTAGAAGCATCCTTGGAGCATGAACAGCGCGTGAACAGCTCGTGCTGTCCCATATGATTGGCTAACGTAGCATGGCCTGATCGCTCGCATGGTCTAGTACGAAGGTCTTTATCTGCTGGCTAGAACAAATTGCTTGGCTTGTATTTTTGTATCTTTCTGATTACACACAATAAAAGCTGTGCTGCATTAGCCCTAGGAGCAGCCATATTTCGGAACCTATTATGGTGTGAGACTGATTTTTCTTTGGATGCCGAGCTGTAACTCGACACAGTCCCATTATAAATGAACATATATTTTGCAGAACTAATACCATAGTGGCATAGTTGCATTCACTGAAGTTGTAAGCTGCTTAAGAATGCATGCTTTAAATCCAGTTCTTTAGCAGAGATTAACTGAACTCCTAGTGGGAATCACGTTTAAAACACTTCCTTATGTGCTCAATTAATGAAAAAAGAAAGCTGTATCATGTTTTTAGCTAAAGACTCCAAGGGGATTATTTAAGAGGTATTTGTCATCTTGAATGCATTCCTTGGCTGTCTAAAATTACTTTTATGATCACATTATCTATTCATTCCAACCAGCAATCCTAACATAAAAAACAAAAAGCACTTAAATAACCCCAGGAGCCAACAGCATTATGGTTTTATGTGATTACATATAGCATAAATATAGGTACTCTATAAATGTAAGTACATTTGTACATACACCTCATGACTAAATTCTGAGAAAGGGGTGGTGGAGGAGAAGAACGACAGTTTCTAAAAAACACAGAACTTAATATTGCACATGAGTTTGGTAATTTGCCAAATGTTTGCTCACATAACGTCTAGTTCAAAGTTTAGCAGAATGTGAAGATAATGTTAAGTCTATTAAAAACACCATTAAAATAATTTGTTTTTAATTGAATAAAGAAATTAAGGCTATCAAGTAAGGCTTCCGTTTTGCTGACATTTTCCCAATCACTGTAGATGGCTAGAAAATACTTTCTTAAATGAGCAGTAATGGCCTGGATGGTTGCTTGTTACTAGCTACTCAGTACATAACCTCCCCCCCCCCCCCGCCCCGCTCTCCTCAGTACGGGGCTGCAGAGAAGCAGTCTGTGCATACGAAGTCCTAGTATGATTGGTAGGCTAAATCATGTCCTCCAAATCATGGAGAGCCACGTGTTGCGGTGAGATCACTCAACTGCCTTCTTGTTGCTGGGGCGCTCCTGTCTGGATGACCTCCAGACCTCATTTGTTGTCTCTTTGTTACTGGGGAAAATTTTCTGTCGTTGGGGTTTGATTGGCAACTAAGGGGCTATTTAGGGGCTGCATGAGGCGAAGTACTTGCTCTTTCGCATCATGCAGTGGATCTCCCGCCCTCCCTCCCTATAATTTAAGGTTGTGTTTTTGACCTTGCTATGCCTGTCTAGGGGTTGTCTGTTTTTGGAACAGAGGCCCGGTATGAATTTTGCCACTTGGCTGATTGGCTGGTGCCATTTGGTTTTTGCCTACCGTGTAGCAAATCGTCACAACTTGGTAAGGGTGGCTGTTAGGCATTGGCTCATTCTTTGGTGGAGGGGATTATGGATTGGCTGTGCCTGCCCCTCATTTTTGTTGCTGCTGCTGCTAGGGAATTCCGTTAAAGGAATCCAGGGGCTCGATTTGCTCTGTCCGATCCCCTCTCAAGAGTAGGGCCATGCCAGAGTTCCTGGGAGCATCTGGGGTGAACTAAGAGGTGGAAATCTGCCTCTATGCTCCCCCAGTATGTTTTCCCTTACTGATCTCTGGAGGTTCCAGTTGTCAGTCCTGTTTCTGCCGGTGCAGGTAGTCTGAACCAATGCCTAAGCAACCATTCACATGCTGTAATCAATAAAGTTGTGGCCAAATTAATGCCAAAAATCTTAAACAAATATTCTGTGTCCTGTGTGATTTATTTTAGAGGGGTTTGGGGGTCTTCACATGCAACAGTCTGATTCTGCAAATGGCAGCTTCATGGGATGCATGGTGCTTGCCAGCTCCTCCATGCTATTCATGCATAATTATCAGTTCAACAGTTAATTGTAAAATCAAAATCATTAAATTGCTGCTTGCTGCTTCTCTGTTTCTGACAAGGAAACATTTCTTTGCAGGCAATCCTGTCTTAAATTATGAGAATTGTGGGCACAGTTCAATCCAAGCAGCTGCCTCCACAATGATTCAGCTCTCCCCCTGAGCCCTCCACTGGCTGCCACCCCCCCCCAAAGATCTTTTACCATGGGGTCCAGCAAAGACTGGAGGATCCCAGCAGGTCACTATAATCCTCCCCCCCCTTTGCTGGGTGTGCTGGTCCCGGGGGGAAGGTTACTGTTACCGTAGTCCAAGTTCAGTCCTGAGTCACTAGCCTGGAGACAGTCCACAAAGTGCGAGGTGAGGTCCGAAACAGGGAGCCGGGCGGGGACAGGAACGCTGGAAGGTCAGAAGCAGGGAGCCGGGCGGGGAACAGGAACACTGGAGGAACAGGACTGGATGCTGGCCGAAACAGCTCTTCAATGACGACGTTGCTCCCGCAACCTGGGACCGGGCTGACTGCCCTTTATCTTCTCTAAGGCCAGGGGCGGTCCCGGCCCCCAGGAGCCCCGCCTCTCCTGGCCTTAAGGCGAGCACTCCTCCTGGGAGACACCAGTTCCCTTCGCCTCTCTGCCCTAAGCCTCTGCAGTTCAGGAGAGGCCGAAGGGTTACTGGGTCCCGGGGGAAGCTCACCTGTAGACACTGAGTCCTCAAGCACCTCTGGGGCCAGAATGGATTCACCTGGTGCCTGCTCCTGAGGATCCGGCACAGGTGCAGGCTCCTCAGAATCAAGGCCTTGCCCCAGTTCAGCCGGCCCTGGAGGCGGGGACTCCTGTGCCGGCTGGGATTCCTCCGGTTCACTCTCAGAATCGGAATCCCAGGCCATCACACTGGGAGTGATGGGACTGGTTTACAAGCTGTCCACCACCTGCTACAAGAAACAAGGAACATTATTTATTGCTTTTAATTTAACCCATCCTTTCCCGCCAGGAAAAGAACAATACGGTTGAGAGGGCAAAAGCTCACCCCATCCACAGTGAACCCTCTTGCCCCAAGTGCCCCTATGCAGTGTGCGTGTTTGACCCACAAAAGCAGTTTTGCCAGATGCAATACTTCACAGCAGACACTATTGCAAGCTAATGGATGGTTTCTAATTATCCAGAAGTAGAATCAACAAATGACAAGGTAATTGGTGCAGAAAAACCCCAACCCCTCTAAATGTGCAAGCTCTGGTTGGTTTAACTGATAGATAAATCAATGAAAATCATGTTTCTAAATAGGTTTTTAGGTCACATCCACACCATACATTTAAAACACATTTATGTATACCACTTTAATAGTCATGGCTTCCTGGGAATTATTGTTTACCCACCACAAAGCTATAATTTCCAGCACCCATAAAAAATAGTTCCCAGAAAAGGGGAAGCCATGTGCTTTAAACTTAAGATGTGGAAGTTACATTGGTAAGTCACAGTAAGTTCAGTTGCGAGTAGGATTGCAGCATAGGGTTTCAGTAAGAGCAATTTTATATTTGGCAAGGGTAAATGTAAGGGGGAAATTTATTTGGGGTGCATAATCTTCAGGTACAAGAGGCCACCGCCATGTGAAAGCAAAGTAGGTCTGGATCCGTTCAGGGCTTGGATGGTTGTCTGCCTGGGAACCAAATACTCTAAACTGCCCTTTGATTTTTGGATGAAGGGCAGTACATAAATTTAATAAGTAGTAGTAGTAGTAGTAGTAGTAGTATGCTACTCCAGGTTCCATGAAGACAGCAAGGCAGAATAAGTAGAACAACCCAGGCAGGAAAACAAATAAAATTTGAATCCTATAGGGAATGGTGTTTTTAGATATACTGTAAGCCAGCCAGAGTGGCTGGGGAAACCCAGCAAGATAGGTGGGGTATAAATAAAATTATTTATTATCATTACTACTATCCATTTTGCTGCTACATCCATCAACACAAATTTTGCAGCCATACTGCTAGTAACTACCTCCTTCCCCATGTCTGTTTATTAATATATTTTCACCTATATCATAGAAACAGAAAATAATCTAAAATATATTTCTTATGCATTTCTACCTGGAAACTTTGATTCTAAATTAGGATATATGTAGAATTACCTTTAAAGAAATGTACGGACATCCATTTTTGTAATAGTGCAAATCAAGTGTCAATACATTTTGGTTACATGCAGGACATTTTCGGATTTGAGCTGTTTTAAACCAAACGGCATAAAGTGTTCTTAACCAAACGTTTTCTGTACAAATATGGCACTTTCATAGAATTGCCCTCCTGAAAGCGCACTTAAAAAAGATTGTTTGTGAACATTTTCAGTCACAGCGTTTCACCTCTGGAGTCCAACGACATTTGGAGAGCTTTATGTTGCCCCTGAGATACATGTTGAAGTCACTGAGGGATGAAGAAAAAGGAGAGCACATGAAAAGATGAGCTTTAAAGAGTTTATTAAGGACCAATACTTTTTAAGTTGAATTGTCTTATTGGGGAAAATCATAAGTATTCAACTTAACATAGCTGTAGAAACTCAGTAACAAAAGCACATGTGTGACAGTTTAACATGTTTAAAACAATTAAATAAAAAAGAAAGGCCGTGACAAAAAAATGGGACTAACTAAAGACCAGCAAATACAGCATGTAAAAATAATCATTGTTAATCTCTTTAAGAACAGCAACTGATGATGTGACGTAAAAGGTATGCAGTTTATGGGTTAATCAAGAGGGTTTAGCCAGCCCACACAAAAAAATGTAACTAAATATGTAAATGTTCAAAAAACACACACATGTAATCACTTGAAACAGGATGTTCACTGAAACACAGATTATGAACAACGAAAACTTCCTCCCTTATAATCCTAAGTATTTATGCTTATACTTTATGTTTTATATCTTTCTGGCTTTACCAGAATCGGTCTCATCAGTATTTTGTTGACATTTCCACCAGCAGAAACACATCAGGACACCTGGACTTGCTTTGGAACCTGAGCTGCTTGGTGCGGATAAAACAGGCTGGGAAGGACAATGGGGCAAGCGGAAAAGAAGGAACAACTGATAAGTGCACTCTTCCGGTGCCCCACTTCTCTGCTTCAACTTGCACTCTCTTGCATCACTTGCAATAGAAAAGATGTGTGGGCTAAGATAAATGAGCTTAATTGTCTAACCTGATATTTTGTGTGTCCCTGCCGTTTGGAAGGGAAGAGGCACTGGTCTACAAATGTGCTGAAATATAAATGGATTAATGGAAGAGGCCAAAAGCTCAGCTACTCTGTAAAACAAGGGGGCCCTTTACTGGTCCTTGGCAGTACATCCTCCCCATCTAGATTTAGGCTTGAAAGACCAATTAAACGTGTGTGTGCAAGGGAAGGTTGGTTGCAAGCATTGCACCATTTGTGACAGTGCACAATTTCTTGCTGATCGCAATCACTTAAGGTACCGGTCCTATCTTCCCATTTCTGAGATTTGTGGATCTTTAACTGGCTGGTTTGTTTTTTTAAAAAAATGCTAATTAAATCTTATACTGTGTATGCAGTAGTCAGAGATGTTTCTACAACTTGGCATAGTGTACGACTCTGACACTGTTGATATGAGCTGGCAATCAGCTAATGGGCACATGGGAAATCATATCTGATTTATAAAAGGAAGGCCTCTATGCAATAATTGATGTGACATGACACCATCACCAAAGTTATTCTTGGGAAATAGTAACGGTTGATTTTGAATACTTTGACACTTCACAGATACCTGTCAACTTTCTGTCTGATGAGGGGCATGTTTACTTGTCCTGAATTGTTATGAGAACATGCAGTATCTAGTAAAGCTGTATTCCAATGCTTTCGTTCTTGGGTTAAGATGCCTGTTTGCTGTTGGCAAAAGTTATGCATGGGATTATAAAGGCCTAAATGAATAGAGAATATCCACAGCTATTAGACAGAGTGTGCCCAGGGCATCTATCCTAATAGCTGTAGTGTGCCCAGTGAAGCTTTGAGCTGGACTGAGGAATCAAAGTAAGCTATATTGAAATCAAAATATGAGGTCACCAGCTGCCCACCAGCAGAAGATAAATACATCTTATTGCACTGCCAAATGCTGAAACATCATGGAATCAGTGAAGTGTAATATTATGCCTAGGTTTCTAATGCATTTCTTCAGTGTTTGGCACAATATGGCTAAGTGGCCGATGTGCCATGAAATCTCTAATGTACCTTCGTGTCTGAGAGGTGGCCAAAGACAAAGCAATAGTATTATACATCATAGGCATTGATGTATAATACTTAAGTGCCTCTTCAAACTGGTGGTGGTGATGGTTTGGTGGTTTGTGTTTCCTCCTCTATAAAAGACCTTTTACTGCTCAATGAATTCAGATTATCAGTTTGACGCAGTAATTGAAGTGACGTGACAGCATCACCAGAGTTATTCTTGGGACACAGTGACTGCTGATTTTAAATATTCTGACACTTCACAGATACCTGTCATGTTTACATCTTGCCCTGTTCTCTGTAAAGGGGACATAACTCAGCAGTAAAGCATGCAAGCAATCTCAAGGTTAATTATTTCCTAGTATCTCCAATTAAAGGATATTGGGTAGCAGCGCTTTATTAGACCTTTGCCTCAGAATCTGGCCAGTTTCATATGGAGATGACAACACTGAGCTTGATAGACCAATGGCCTGACTCAGTATAAGATAGATTCATAGCTTAAAAAAAAAAAAAAAAAAAAAGAGTGTAGGTGAATTGTGTTTCTCACCTCCTTGAGTGGGTTTTCCAAGTTTGCACTCCTGGGCACTTTCACAAATATGGACAATTATTTTTATTTCAGGTGGTCAGAGCTCAGAATTTGGAAGACTAAACACTGGTGTATCTAAAGCTCTTATTTATTAATCATAAAAATAAAATTTTGCTACTAGCTAACAAATCAAGCAGATGTATGAATTATCAACAAGTAATTAATCTCATTTCACAGTGCCTTTAAAACCTGCCTTCAGAGCCTTCAAGATAGTTGCTGCAGTCACTGTTCCTAGTTGCTAGCCTGCACTGATGACTGCAATCCCCCCTCAGCAGTACAAAACACTTCATGGCTGCAGGGCCCTCTTAGTCTTGTTGTATAGGTCCAGAAGCCAGTTTTGTGTGCTGACTTTTAGTCCTATTCAGTGCTTTTTTCTGGGGGGATTGGGGTACACATACCCCTAAACATTTTGTGAATCTTTGTACTTTTGTCCATTTACTGTATTTATTTTTCCCAATGTGAACTTTCTTGAGTCAAAATGAGAGTACCCCTAAACATTTTTTAAGAAAAAAAAGCACTGGCCCTATTTAGACATTTCATACTGATGGCCACCAAACACTTGAAGGAGATGTCTTTAAATGCTTGGGCTAGTCCTGCCCAGTAGACATGGAAGTTCTTACCAGCCATACTCCTTGGCAGACTTGCAAATCATAGAATCATAGAGTTGGAAGGAACTCAACCCTCTGCAATGCAGGAATCTCAGCTAAAGCATCCATGAGAGATGGCCATCCAACCTCTGCTTAGAAACCTCCAATAAAGGAGAATTCACCACCTCCCAAGGGAGTATGTTCTACTTTCAAAAAGCTCTTACTGTCCAAAAGTTCTTCCTGATGTTGAGTCTGAATCTCCTTTCTTGTAATTTGAAGCCATTGGTTTGTGTCCTACCCTCCAGAGCAGGAGAAAACAAGCTTGCTCCATCTTCCATGTGACAGCCCTTCAGATATTTGGAGATGGCTCTCATATCTTCTCTCAGGTTCCTCTTCTCCAGCCTAAACAATAGCCTGCTCACTCAACCATCCTGCATAAGGCTGGGTTTCCAGACCCTTGATCATCTTGGTTGCCTTCCTCAGCACACCTTCCAGCTTGTCAACATCCTTCTTAAATTGTGGTGCCCAGAATGGGACACAGTATTCCAGGTGTGGTTTAACCAAGGTAGTACAGAGAGGTACTATTAGTTCCCTTGATTTGGATACTATACATCTGTTGATGCAGCTTAGAATAGTGTTAGATTTTTTTCAGCATGAGTCTGAAAGTTACTTATATACATAGGGGATGGTAGCCCAGGTCAATCAGGATTCTTGTCCACATAGAGCACATAGATGACCAAACTTGGCCCTCCAGCTGTTTGGGGACTACAATTCCCATCATCCCTGACCACTGGTCCTGTTAGCTAGGGATGATGGGAATTGTAGTCCCAAAACAGCTGGAGGGCCAAGTTTGGCCATCACTGACATAGAGGGAGCCCTACCTGTGTACTACTTAGACTTTCAGAATGATGCTACTCAATCACCAGACCAGCGCATATTGGCATCTGGGAGTGAAGAGAACTGTTTCACATCTTCCATACCCATGGTTACCAAACATCGGACTTTTGTGTCACAAAAATACAGATTCCCTTCCAATTTCACATCCCTCCCTTCTTTGCAGATTAATACTGTGAACCCAAAAGTTGTTGTTTTTTTAATGCAAAGCTGGGAGCTAGAAATAAAAATGGAATGAAATATTAGCCAAGTGTAGGGGATTGGGATTTGAATTATGCAACTTTCTCCAACAGGAAGGTAACAAGGTATACAATGCAGAGTAAACAAGGTGGTCCCTTTAAGTCTAAAATGGCAGAATGCTGTCTCTTAGGGTGATCTCCCCAGAGACCTGCAAGTGACAGGGCCCTTTGACCCTAACATAAGCTGGCATGAGCATTGTAGTTTTTGACATGACAGTGAGTATTCCTGTTACCATAGTACTGCAATCACACCAAAGAATGTGATTTGAAAGAGTGTATGTGCAACGATGTCTAATGATGCTAACTTGTGATTTTTCAGCTACAATTTTTTTTTTTGGGGGGGGTCTAACTTAGGAAGCCAATATTAATTTGCAAATAAAAGCAGTTTGCTAAGAATTGGCTGGACATAATAAAAGTTCCCCACCTTTACGAACTAATGTGACAAAACCTATAACAAAGGGAAGAAACAAGCCACAATGTTATGTTATTTGGGAATTGTGGTGCAAGGCTTTAAGCTTATTGTGCAAAGGCTGGCCACGAATTTCTGTCACCCTCAAGTTTTTTACAAGGGTCTTACTAGCTCTTCATGTCCTCTTGGGAGAGGCAACTAATACAGAGAAGGTAGGATATATAATCACTTCCACATTATATCCAAGCCAAGCCATTCATTTAACTGTAAACTTTTGAAATCTGAATTTGGATTCTTACTTGGCAACATTGCAAAAGGCACATGGCCCAGTTCTTCAATCTGTTAAAGTCATTTTGAATCCTGATTCTGTCCTCTGTGGCATTAGCTACCCCTCCTAGTTTGGTGTCATCTGCAAATTTGATGAGCTATTTATAAATTTGTTTATAAAGACATTGAACAACAACAGGCCCAGGATGGAACCCTGCGGCACCTCACTTGTCACTTTCCCCCAGGATGATGAGGAACCATTGATTAGTACTCTTTGGGTTCAGTCAGTCAACCAGCTACAAATCCACCTAACCGTTACCTTGTTCAACCAACATTTTACTAGCTTCCTCGCAAGAATATCACTTTCTCAAAAGCCTTACTGAAATCAAGATACACTATGCCCACAGCATTCCCCTGATCCACCAAGTTTGCAACTCCATAAAAAAAAAAGCAATGTGATTGGTTTGGCATGACTTATTTTTGAGAAGCACATGCTGGGTCTTAGCAATCACAGCATCCTTTTCTTAAATGCTCATAGACCAACTGTTGAATTATATGCTCTAGGACCTTTCCTACACAGTCTTCCTAGGCAGCTTCACAGAAAGGGTTATAACCATTCCATTCCACAATGTTCTTCATAGCTGCCATGTTATTGGCCTATTCCTTCAATAAAGTTGTGGCCAGTTTAATACAAGCTATCAGTGTTCTTTTTATTTCTTCTACTTGCAAACATTAAGAGTGTGGTTTCTGCTTATAAGCTGTTATTAGTCTATTGATCAGCAAATGTTTTTCTAACACTCTGGAGAGAAATAAGAACATTTTAATGGTATAATAGATCACAGGATCTCATACTGTGGAATGCACCTCTTCCCCGTCCCAGGGAGGGGGAAAAGCATTTTGGGCAGTGGAAGTGCAAAGTCTTTAATAGAGTACTGGGCATCACAGCATTAACATTTATTTTGATCACTTGTGGCTGCAGAGAGATGTAACTAGTACAGCAAGAAATTGAAACTTTTCTCTCTCATCACACCCTTATGCAACTTATGAGGGTAGATATTCAGAATTCATTTTGAAACATTTGGGAAGACATATTGGAATAATTCTCTGGTATTCATTTACCGATATGTTCCAGGAGTGATATTTTGAAACCACTGGTACAGTTGTTGCGTTAGTATATTTCAGATGGAATTTTTGAATTTTTATGGCTTTCTTTTGATGCCTTGTAATGGACCCTCCTAGAGGGTTTTTTCTGGTAGATGACTTGATGCTCTTTTGTCTTCTGGTTTCTTATGTTTTGGACACAAAGGGAAGCAGTGGAGGCCAAATCTGGCAGGTGGTGAGCAGTAACTGCTATTGCAGATAACATTTGGGATTATTGCTTTAAGTCAATTTATTATTCCAGCAAATGCTGGAAATGTTTGCTAGGATAAGGCCCAGATATGCATTTATGGGACTTATAAATGCTAACTTTAAAGAAAAGGTGAACATTATGAAACCCCTGGTTTCCCCCTGCTAGTATTAAAAACTCCTTCCACACCATAGCCAGAGTGCTGCTATCATTGCTGTTGCTTCTATAGCGGACCTAATTAAGTGAGGTTTGAAAAAGAAATTAGCAGGGGACTCTTTTCATGAGATAGACATTAGCTAACATCTAGAGCTCAAGTTGCTGCCAGGCATACAGAAATTGGGGCAGGAGCCAGTAAAATTGGCATCTCTCTCTCTCATCTATCTATCTATCCCACCCCAGCTCCATCGGTGGAGTGATCAAATATGTTGTTTTCTGCAGACTGTAGAGATTATGGAAGGAAAGAGGGGTAATTCTAAGGTACTCAGTTCTTAAGCAGCTTGGAGCTTTATGAGTTACAAGTATACAGTTTTGCCTACAATGCTATAGGAATTTAGGCCAGTCCGCAGGAGCCAACTCCTAGAGGCCAAGGGGTATTCAGTCCCCCCCCCCCCCCCGTTGATGGGCATTGCCATTCAAATGGTGTCCATGCGTTGCATCATGTGATTGATTATGCAGGGCAGGGCTTGCTTACTTACCCCGCAATTCCCCCCCCCCCCCAAGTTGACACCCCTGGACCAGTCATTGGGGTGCTACTATAATGATAACTGATTGTTGTTGTTGTTTAGTCATTTAGTTGTGTCTGACTCTTCATGACCCCATGGACCAGAGCACGCCAGGCACTCCTGTCTTTGATAACTGATTACAGAACCATTAAAAAGTGAGCAACTGGGCAATAGCTGTGAGACCCTGGACTGCATGGGAAGCTTTGTGCGGAATAGATCTTGATTTGTTAAAGGCAGGAATGATGGGTCCTAGAAAGCAAAACTGGAATTAGTGAAAAGTAGCCTCTGCAAGATTGGTGAAACTACTGACCTGCCAGCCTTCAGAACCTCCTAGATGCTTGCTGAAGAACATGTGTACAGTGTGGTCCCCCCCTTTTTTTACATACATAAATTAGTAAAGGGGAAATCATAGAATTGTAGATTTGGAAGGGACCATGAGGGTCATCTAGTCTAACCCCCTGCAATCCTTTTTCCGAATGTGGGGCTCGAACCCACAACCCAGAGATTAGAAGTCTC